ATTTTGTACTAAAATTACCTAACATGTTCAGTGATGAGCGCAAATTAAGATATAAACTACTCCGTGATATTTTTGATCTTCACAAAACGCTTTACACAACTTTATACAAAAAAGAATACTCAGAATTTCAATATTACTTAATGCTATAAAAGTTAAACTCTCAGCTTGAGGGTTGATTACAAGTTATTTTAACTTTTTTTTGCAGTGTTGATTAAATTAAAAAAAACTACAAATAATAACTTTATTAACTCAAGACTTAAATTATTACAGAAAATATTAAATTAATGAGTACTGTAACATGAAAATGAAGAGATCTTTTTTTGCATTCTTGAATAAAATTATTGCATCAAACATTAACATACTATGTGAATCATGATCGAGGAATTATTACAATTTGTGATGATGTGATTGGTTCAGCAATTGCTAAGGTTCGCGGAACGACAGCAATGGTTGATACTGAGGTACTTTTAGAGGACATAATGACTATAAACCACTGAAAATATGAAACTTTCAATGAGATAGTATGCCACCACTGTTGTAAGCATGTGCACCGTTCATTGTTACAATGAGATACAAATTACGCAACACTGAAGTGCACACTGAAATTGCCAAATCAGTAGTATAGTTATTGACATATAAACATTATATTCAACAAATTAAGAGAATTTTTGGTTGTACGTTACCATTTCTTTTTTTACATCTCTTCTACTACTATGAAAAAAAATAAATTAACACTATTTTACAAGCAAAATTTGGCAAATTATGCGGAGAATATTTAAATAAGTTGTTACTTCTACGGACACCAAATAAATATTGAGATAATGGAACAAAACGATACAACTTATTAGTCATAAAGTGAAGTGAAATTACAATTGTGAAGTCCAGTGTTACTTTTTAAGAGGTTTATCAATCTTCCTGTCAATTCAAAATGTTCAAATTTTTTTCTGAGAAGCTAATCTATTTAGTTGAATGCATTAACAGTTTTTATTTTCAGCAAGTACATTATTTCTTAATAATTTTGATAGAAAACGGTAGCAAAAAAAAGTAATGAATAACACAAAACAAATATAGCATGCAAATACACCCCCCACATAGACACACATGTGATTTCCATGGATTCTGATAGAAAATTTTGATTGATAATGACTGCTATTGAATTCGGAAACTAGAAGTACCTCAAAGTTATGAAACGTTCGTTGCTCTAGGCAACAAACAGACTTTCGGGTGAACATAGATGCTAAGTTTGTGTTTTTTCAATTTATTACTAAGTTCAGATTTAAGAAAAGCTCAGAGTCCTTAAGTATATTTCTACTTACCACCACTTTTTGCAACTTCGATTTTGTCGATTTTATGAACTTATGTTGTTAAGATAACAATAAAAATAGTAAATCTGTTTCCACAGATCATTTTAAAAAATTGTAAAATTATGTTTTTTTCTAAACTTCTACTTCTACAATAGTCAAAAAATATAGAGAAATAAGTTAAGAAAAAGAACAGGAATAAATATGTAACGAAGCAAACAACGGTTCTACTATTGCACCTGTAAAAGAGTGGAAGATTGAAGTAGCATTAGTCAACTGAACAAATTATAAAAATTAGAATCATTGCAAGTAAGCAATAAATAAAGATACAAACATTTAGTAAGCAAATGTTTTATTAAAAGTGAAGATGACAATTATTCTTGATTGTTCGTCAATAACCAAAAACAACTTACTCAGAATCATGCTCCAATTTTTTTATCAGGAGTATGCTTTCCTGTAATACATCATTGAAACGCGCAAATAATTGCTGAATATTATTAAAAAAGAAGATCTAAAAAAAAGTGAAATAATCACCATTTCTAGTAAATCCAGTTACGAAGCCTTTATAACAATCAAAAAATTGAAAAGCAAATAATATCCATAATATGACGGAAACACACACCTCACAGAATTTATTTGGCAATAATCCCAGCAGTTTCATTTTCGAAACGTTTATCTCTTGTAATGCATTTAAAATACTACAGATACTCTGACATAAAATACCCTCCAAAAACTTCAAGACTTACATGCAAATCAGACTTTTCACTGCTCAAGAATTACGGGCTTTCATTGCTCTAGAAATATGGTCCGTTAAATTTCTGCCTCAAAGACTTTGAATTCATGAAAGCAATCTATACTTTTGTATTAATATTTTAAGTTTCAGCATAGGTATAGGTTTGGTAGTGGGTGTTTAGTAATGGATCTTATTTTGTGTATGAATAGATAAAAATTATAATCTTAGGCTATCTCCTTCAGTCATATCACCATTTTGTAAATGGATGGTCAGGTGAAAACAGTTGTTGACAGTAGACGCATGTTTTAACAATGTTGCGGAATGATTCAGGAAGTACTGTTTTTGAGAATTATTATTTTTCGGGTTTAGTAGAATTATCAATCTTTTTTTGGTTACATATATGTGTGCACATATAATCATATACATGGCGCTGCTTCGAAAAATAGGTTTTCGATAGTCTTTCTTTGCATCTACTAATAGCAATCTTTTAAATAAAGCCATTCACTATTCAGTAGTTTAACTGAGGTCGATCGGTACTTTTCCGTTATTCATTTAAACTGAAAGCATTTCTTCTTTACTTTCAATTGTAAATATCAGTCAAAAATTTGGATTGCTGCGTAAACGAGTTACAAATAAGGTATTGTACGAAGATTGTAGGTCGCATTTAAATCAAAATTTTTATTCTTAAAATCAAGTCGACATCAAAAGACTAAACATGGTTAGAACAGGTTTCAAGTGTTTGCATGCTAACTATTAATCATTTAAACGGTTGTGTGATTCACATTTACAGTTTATTGTGTTTATTAGATGCATTTACAAGACTATTAGCATCACTCACTTTTTGATATATTAACATCAATTACTGCTTTTCTTCCTTGAAGTACCAGCATCAGTTACTAATCAAAAATTTCTGCTGCTTGCTACTGAACAATTGCACGACATAAATATATGACCATTAGGTTGATTGAATAATATATAGTTCTGATTTATCATCCACCAAACATTGGATTCGCCTCCTAACCCGGGCAATTTCTTCGAAATCATGTTTATAACATAATGGACAATGCCGCTGCCTCAGCAAACTGCAATTATAAATTTTATCATTCCTTTTATCACCACTTTTGGACACTTTTGATACAGTTAAAATATTCAGAATATATAAAGATGTATTTAGTGAAAGTTTATCAGTTTACATGAGGACATGTTTTCTGTGGTATTTAATAGTAGTAAAAACTGCAAACAATGAAGAAGATTGCTAACAATAGGCAGCACATCCCAATGCAACAATATATTGTACCACCAAAGCAACACAGCATGCCAAGTCTAGTGAATCGCATTACAACCACCTTAATTTCGTTTGTCTGCACTTACTGTTAGTATTGTTTGCTCAATTTTTCCAAACTGTTTTTTTGGGACCTCAAGACTTAACTGCGGCAATTAGTGTTAATAATTAAATTTGCGATACACTGGAAATAATTCTGGCACCATTCTCTTAATTAATTTACAACTGATAGAAATTCAAGAAGGCTACAAAATAAATGGTGCAACGACTTAAGAGTTACTCTTTCACCACATCGTCGACAAGTTCGAGGCTTTCTTCTTCCACAAAGTAGCCAACAAATACAGCACATCAGAAGTGTTCTAGCGCAACCTTACACTGATTGTATAAAATTTCAAGATAATGGTTGCACTTACGAACAAGCATTACTTATGCTTTTTTGCGTTCACGATAATTTACATCTCCTGTTTCGCTGGATAACAGCGTTGACATTGAATAGAAAAAACCTCATCAGAGCCCAAGTACATCCAGCGATACTAAGTGCGGAATAACTCCGATTTTAATTGTAGATAACTGTAAAAAGAAATGTCTTGAACGCAAATTTAATGCCCTTAAACCAATATTTCTTAAAAATTAAGCAAGTATCCCAAGCAATACATGTTCCTCATCATATGAAAGTGACACATCTCACCATCGGGTCATGTCCTGCCACTGTCACAATAAACGCACATTACGTGTTATGCTCATATCGCTAGCCATTTAATTGGTATCGTAAGAAACACTTGATAATAACGCAAGACAACTTCTGCCGAACTTAAACGTATAATGTCTTATCAGCCTGACTGCTCAGAAACCTCACTTTTCTGATGAACTGAAGAATGCCCACATTTGATTTACCAAGGCTGACATTGTAAGAAGTCGCATGTTAGTATGAAATGCCTAGACTGAAAGTTATGATTAGATGCATACCGAACATGAAAACACATCCCAATTAAAAACCACCGAAAGTTGAATTTCAATTCCGAGTAACATCAAATACTATCTGGATGTTGCTTTATATTCCATCGATCTCGTATGCCAGCAACAAGCATGCACACAGTTGAATTGAATTAAAAGTGACAATTCATGTTTTTAGTGAAATACAACGACGACCTTTAAAAAAAGATAAAACTTTACTGTGGATTGTAAATTACAATGCAAAAATATCAACTACAGTAAAATGCAATTACTAACAGATGAAAAAGGTAGATATGAAAAAAATACTCATGAGAAACAAATATTTCTTTCTATGTTTTAGTTGATTACACGAATTTATGATAAGGAGAAATTTTTGGAGAAAAATGAAAAAATAACTACGCACTGCACGTGGAAAACATAAAATGACTATTAAAGTATTTGTAAACATGATGCAAATCGATTCTAATGTTACATCTTGGTCCAACAAAATTCTTTCCAAGCTTTTTTATTTCTTATGCCTCTGATAGCAAATATTTTCTAAGAGGAAAAAAATTATTTAAGGCATTCTAACAGTCGCATTTTGCTTTTAAATTATCAAAAAGAAGAAAAAAAACAAAGCAAGGGTACTATATGATCAAAAAAAAACAAGAAATATCATTCGACAAATCTCATTAAAAACTTCACATAAAACTTGGGAGTACATCGAGTAAGTCAAATGTGAATGCGAATATCACTTAATTATAAGACCTAAATCAAGAGCTTCACGCTCAGCCCACTCATCGATTGATTTTTGAGCTTCCATTAGTGAATCATCTTCTAGTCCATCCAGAGCATCAATTATGAACGAACCTTAAGTGTTCTAATATTAAAATTTTGTCCTAAAGAAAGTACGGTCAGTACACTTTATTGATTTAAAAAACTTGGAATTTGTTACTAATTCCGGAAAGACAAGCAGTGCTAATAGTACTATTGATGCCATCAGTATACCAGTGAAAAAATGTGAAATTCCACAAAATCTAGCTTCTTACATTTTGCTTTTTGAAATGCAAAATGTAAGAAGCTAGATTTTGTGGAATTTCACATTTTTTCACAAACCAAACTCAATTCATTTTCATAAGATTAAAAATAAGGTGACTTACGATGAGTTGTTAAAGCGTCGAATTCGCCGTCTGAAGAACTCTCGCTTGAGTTATTTTCTATACCTCAAAAAAGATTTTAACTAGAGCAGAACAGTAAGTGAGAAAAAACATAAGTATCACTTGACCACAATAACAAACAATGTCAGCTCTTAAGTGACGTTTTTGCGAACATTTCTAATTTTAAAACCAAGTCTTTATTGCAGTATCCGGCAGTAAATTTATAGTCTTTTTTATTATACAACGACCAGATGTTAGAGATCGTTCTTCTAATAACTACAGTGATTGTCTACAACTTTCAATTGATATAGTATTCTTTTACCACGATAAGTCTTTAGAAATTTAGTAATTCAAGAACAAGATGGAGGAGATTGTAATCATGAATTACAATTCTTCTCAGAAATATTTTGAAACTAAAAGGCTAAAAAGCACTGATCAATAAATGAACTAAAGGAACTGAACATCTAGTTAGACAATACCTGGCAAAACAGAAGAAGTAGGAAAAAGGTCCCGAGCAGAATCAGCTGAAATTTCGCTATAATCACTGGTATCCACCACCACCCGACTATTACATTTACGTAGCGATTGAATATTACATATCGTTCCCCCGATGACAACAGTGACTGTCTACAACTTTTCATCGATATAACATTTTCTTGTCATGATAAACCTCAAACAAATAATACAATGAAAATACAAAAAATATTTTGTAAAGGGAAAGAAAATGGAGAGAATAATCTATAGAATTATGTCGCAAATTACGGAGCAAAAATGATAAGCGAAAAAATTCTGTATAGACTAAGGTATTTACTAATTACGAAGTTTGATTGAATAACCCAACAGATTAAAGAAGTTAGAAGAAAGAGGTTAAAATATTACCTGTTTTGCATGTGAATTTGTAATCAACGTAAATGAATCGAGTAATGTTTGAATACATTTTGAAGTTACCTGCGAATTAAATTTCAGTAATCTATATGTAACTTAATTTCTTAAATACTATCAAGCAAAAATCTAAAAATTATGCAGCAGAATATTTTAAATTGTAAAATTTGTGTTAAGTCTTTGATCAAAAGTAATGTGTTTGAGTCATAATCAACTATGATAGGTCATACTAAAAACTAATATAAAATTAATAAAAATTTGAGAGACGAAACTGCTCCCCATCAAATCATGATTGGAAAGGATATTGCAATAACTAACAAGAAGACATCCACTAAGATCCACATGTTCCAAATTTTTCAGCATCGTTAACGAACAGACACCTTCTTCACCAAGATATGTGCAACACCGAGCTCGAAAGATACGAAGTTTAGAGCAACCAGAAGCAATTGATGACAAAACATTGTTTGTTACCGCTGCTAGTGAGCTTACGTTAAGCTAAAGCATATAAGTCAGCGTGAGGCACAAATTAAAAAAATTGAGCGATATGTCTCATTTTCAAAATTCAACTTTTTAATGCACCGTTTCAAGTTCTGTTAATTTCGCTATTTTCGAAGCAACTTCTTTAGTAATCGTTGCATCTGAGCCAGCGTGTGCCAAGCTTAGTAAACGTAAACATGTGAGATTATCAAAAATAGCTTCTAATAGTTGATCTGACACCAATGAATTGTAATCTAACCTGAAAATTTAACACATCTTTATTGACTTTTTTGGGCATCAATTCTTAAAAGAGATTAGTTCTAACTCTTCACCGCTTTATTTATTACTTATGTATCGCTATAGCAATTATAAGTCACTCAAAAAATTAATTTCAATGAATTCAGATAAAACAGAGTTAGGACTTTCACAAAGAATATAAAGAAATTCTTACCACAATTCATGAAGAAAGTGCAAACGTGTAAGAGCCATGAGACCCACTGGTGTCAAATCCACGAAGCAATCACCACACAAGGCAAATGATTTCAAATATTGCAAATTTCTTGATATTAAACTGAAAGTTATCTGTACACATAATCGCACTTGTAAAGGAAATCTATCATGTTTATAATTCAGCAAAGAGAATGGTTTTTTATTTTGAAATATGGCGAAAAGTCATGACAAAATTCCACAGGTTTGCACTTTTATTTTCCATGGTGATAATTTAAAAAAAGTTGAACATGAAATATGTAACTAAAGACTACAGAAGATTTGATTAAATCAAGGGCTGTTTTATCCATAAAACAGAAATAAGCCATGCAAATCTGCAAAAGTAATAGACACATTAATTGATAAACTCCATAACTGTCACAAAAACATTTTAACAAGCTAAAATAAGATTATTGCAATCACCTCAGTATATCATCTGAGACCAACCGACAACCACTTAAACGGAGTTCAATAATATTTGGTGAGTGAAAGCATAATTCTTCCAAAGACTGCTTATCCAAACGATAACAGCCATCAAGAAAAATCTAAGAACATTCTGGAGATAACAATTACAGAACATAATAATTTTCAGATTGCTCCCATCCACTACTAATTTAATTTTAAGAACTAAACAATTTACTGACTCACATAATTTACTGGAATGAAAAAAAATTAATTCTAAAATTGATATGATTTTCATCTCTTCTGTAAAATGATATACTTTAAAAAAGTCTATACTGTTGGTAAAACAAATTTTCACCTTTTGCAACTGATCTCCAAATAGTTTAAAACAACGGCCTTTGAATCGACGACAACCTCGTAGGTCAACTTCTCGGATATTCATTCCAACAGGTTTAAATAGGTACCACATTGTTTTATCACTAATGTTAACCATATTTTTATAAGTAATAGACCGCAAATTCTTCAGCGGTTCAGCAAATGTGCGTACAGCTCGCCAATGGCAACTAAGACCTGATAAATTTACCTAAATGCCAAATTACTCAATGGACTTTATTCACTGACCTAACCGAAACATTCCATGACTAAAAGTTAGAAGCTATGTTAAAAAAAGGATATACAAGTTAAATATTTATAGAAAACAAACCACAAAAGAATAAAACTCAAACGATTAAGTTACCAAAAGTCTTTTTGATCAAATCTCTAATTAAGATGAGAAACAACACTGTAAAATGCATTGTTTCTATTTTTTTTAACTGACAAAGATCATCTCACTTACTTCAACCAAATTTGGGCATGACAAAGAAATGATTTGAAAAGCCCCTTCATCCAGCAAATTAACTACCCTTGATAAATCCAAACATTTTAAATGCACACCACAACGTGATAAAAGTGCCTGCAATCAGTAAATGCTGAATATTTTTATATATTTATAATTCTCGGTTCAAACTGCAGACTCGAAAAGATATAGAGCTAAGAAACCACTTACAATTTATCAAAATTTAAGTGGCTATGATTGAAAAACATTTTTTAATGATCATCTATAAGAAATATTAGATGTAGTAATATGTTCTAAACTAATGTTTTACCTTCAAATGCATATTTCGAAGAGGATTTGACGAAGAAAATGTACGACCAAAAATACTATCATTAGAAAATAACAATGTGTTAGTTAATTTCCATGACTGCAATTTCAAAAAAAAATGAATACAACCTAAATATTAAATTTTTTAAGTTTTCACTAGTCATTTATTTCAAGGCATAATTAAGTATAATCAACGCACATACAAGAAATGTATTTTCAACTATTATGACTTTCTTCTATAATAATCGAGAAAAGCAAAATTTGTTCTACTTTGGCCAAAAAATATTGTGCTAAGTAATTTTTGTCTCATTATAATATTTTCGATAAATTATTCATTCTTTTCATACCATCATAAATACTGAAAAATATTTTCGATAACCTAGTCGACGAACATAATTCTATTTTGCACATTTTACAATTCAAGTTCAAAAAACTTAAGATCAAATTAAGCGACAAAAACCATTGTTCCAACTATAAAAATAATAAAAGCAAACTTCCACAGATGATTCAAGAAAGCATTTGCTCACTCGTTCCGATCTAATTCGATCTACTGGTGGTAAGTACGACAGAATCAACGTGAGTACTTTTTCTGGCAATATAGAAAGTGACAGTGAACTTCCAAACTAAAGGTAAACAGTCATTACTACATATACTACTTAGCTTGATGATCAAAAATAAAGACTACTGATGCACATCAAATGAATGTTTTTAGAATCACAAATAAGGAGTAGAAGGTGCTGAATTATAAACATGCCACTGCTTTAAACTGTGTAGGATATAGAAATAGAAAAAACTAAAAAAGTAGAAAAAACTCGGGAAACGAACAAACGATGCTACATCGGTTAATGAGCAAACAGATGCAGAGTGAGATGGAACTGCTGTTCTGATA